AAAGAAAGACGAATGCACCGTGACCTGGGTGGCACTGGCACTTGCACTCCATGTTACTTGCACTTGTACTTGTCCCGCGGTTTGCTCCTTCCATTCCCTCTCGAAATGCACTCTACAACCGTGGAAGGCGCTGTACTCCGTACCTCGTACCTGCGTACCTACCTTTTTTCTACCCACATCGTCTTGAGCCCAGGCCTTCTTCGGCGCACCTCCTCCTAGCGCGGTCCCGTCGCGCCCCCCTTGCCCTTCCCGTCCCGTCCTCTCTGCATCCTCCATCCTTTCCTTCCCCCGAAAACCAGGGCCACCCACCGCCTCCGCCTTCGCCTCTGAGGTGCGTTCCACCGTCACATCCCACTTCCAGCTTGGTTTATTACCTGCCCAAAGCCAAGTACCGTGCCTTTCAACTTTGCTCTGCGTCTCGAGCCTTGACTCTCTCTCTCCCTCTCTCGATCTCTCCTTCCGATTTCACCAGCTATTCCTTTCTTGGTCTTGCTTGCCACGGTCCCCAAGTCCCAACTTCTTTCACCCATTTCCTTCCTTCTCTCTTCCTTGTCCGGAATACACACCCACCCATCCCTCCCACACCCACACACACACTCTCGCAGAGGCGTACGGAGTAGGCGTGCTCAGAGTCAGTTTGTCTTACCTCAAAGTGCCTGGGCCTATCTCGTCCCTCTCTCCTCCTTCACTCCCTCTTCCCCAAGATCCCCAATCCCGGCCTACAAACACTCTGCAGCTGGACTTCTCCTCTCCAATCCAATCCCATCCCTTCTCCTCTCTTTCTTCCCCCCTCCTACCCATCTCTACCACCGCTCCCTACAACGACAACCACAAAAAAGGCGAGAGACATTACATTGCAGGGAGCTGCGAAAGGCATTTGGGCGTCAATCAAGCGAAATCCTCCGATACCACCGAACAATCCACTTTCTATTGAGTCGCCCTGGAGCATTCCACTACAAGGCCCAAGACGACCCACGCTTTCCGCTTGACACCTCCGATTGTTAAGCTTCCCGTCTCCCGCTGGCCCCATACACATACAGCACGCACGCTATTCACTTACCGCTGCGGCACCGCCAAACACAACCTCTCGTCGTTCCAAGTCGACTTCCGATCTAGGAATCGACCACCTTCAACTTTTCGCACCCGACGCCGCCACTCCCTCATGGGAGATATCCCGCCGCCTGACCCTAACGCATTCACACGCAACATTTAACATCGTCGTCGAACCGAGTCAGTGCCGTCATCCGAGTCGCTCGAGCCCGTGAGACTTGCGCATTGATTTTCAACGTGCAAACAATTCGCCATTACCCCCTCGTGCCGTCGTACAGTCCTCGCCTCGACAGACTCGGCAGATATTGCGTCGATTTCACACTGACCAGGACCTTTCTCTTCTCTTCTTTTACGCTTGAGCTGTTGCGCTGACTTGGACATTTCCGCGAGTCCATCCCTATTTTTCGATTATCAATGAACCCTCGGTAACGACTCCGCGTATTACGAAACAGCCTCCGAATCCATCTACGTTCGACGACCGTATTAAGGGAACTCCTGCTGGCGAAGTTTTATTCACCTACGAAAACTCAGTTGACGATAATTCCAAATACGATTGCTTCATATCGCAAATCATCATGGCTGGCTACAACAATAGACCACTGAGTTTCTCCGAGAGAAGAGGGAGCATGCTCAGCGACGACATGACGCTCAACACTGGATCCAGTTCCAGCAGCACGAGACTCGAGAAGATGCCGCAACGGCCGGGACACATTAGAGGGCCGCCTACACCCAGCATGACTACTCCTGCCGCAGACTTCGACCAGCAGTTGACGGGATCGCCACCTCCCCCGCCCACACCAGCTGCCTCGCCAGGCCCCTCACATCATCAACTCGACTGGAGCGATGCTGCCGATGACGAAGACTTCTTTCTCGCCAAAGTGCGCCATCACTTCAAGAACTCTGGCGGTCCTCACCGCACTCGCCTCCTGGCCGATCTTCTGAACATGTGCACAAGTCAACAGCTGAGCTTCGTTCACCAGTTCGTCAGCCCCCTTCTCAAGAAGGATCCATTCACGAGCCTTCCAGATGAGCTGTGTTTGCGCGTAAGAAAGTTCCAAATTCCCAATGGGTTCGCTTTGCTGACTTGATCTACTCAAGATTCTTTCCTTCATAGATGACCCCAAGGTCTTGGCTCGTGCCTCGCAAGTGTCCCGGAGATGGAGAGACTTGTTGAGCGATGACATGACGTGGAAGAACCTTTGTGTTAAGCACGACTACGGCAGACGCTTGTCTGAGGTTGCTTCTTCGATGGGCAGCGGATCTCGACCTGGCGCCCAGCCTCTATGGGGAGACGACTATGCCAGCAGCAGTTTCCCGGGTGCGCTGCCTATGACGGCTCACGCCTCTGGATCCCGCAGTCTTGATGGATCCGGCAATTCAAGACCCAAGATGAGGTCTTACAAGTCGCACTTCAAGCAGCGATATCTCGTCGAGGCCGCCTGGAGATCCGGTGGCACTAGCACCACCAGGAACATCACTCAGGAGGGTGGTGTAGTTACGAGCTTGCACTTGACGCCCAAGTACATTATAGTGGCCCTTGATAATGCCAAGATCCACGTCTTTGACACCAAGGGCAACCAGCAACGCACTTTGCAGGGCCACGTTATGGGTGTTTGGGCAATGGTTCCTTGGGATGACATTCTCGTCAGCGGCGGTTGCGATCGTGACGTGCGAGTATGGAATCTGGCTACGGGGTATGTTGACTTCAAACGGTGCAACGGCTTAGATGTACTAACTTTGCTAGTGCTTGCCTCCACACGCTCCGTGGACATACATCAACGGTTCGGTGTCTGAAGATGTCTGATGCAAACACGGCGATTTCGGGCTCGCGCGATACGACGCTTCGAGTATGGGATATCCGCACCGGTTTATGCAGAAACGTTCTTGTCGGCCATGGCGCTAGTGTTCGATGCCTCGAGATCAAGGGAGACATCGTGGTGTCAGGCAGCTACGACACGATGGCGAAGGTTTGGAGTATTTCCGAGGGCAGGTGTATCCAGACGCTTCAAGGTCACTTTAGTCAGATCTACGCCATTGCCTTTGACGGCAAGAGAGTTGTCACTGGCAGTCTCGACACCAATGTCCGCATCTGGGACCCCAGAACAGCGTAAGTGCAACGGATATTACAAGGATCTGTTCTGTTTTGGCATGCTGACCAATTTTAGTGAATGCCTGGCTATCCTGCAGGGTCACACTTCCCTCGTGGGTCAGTTGCAGATGCGCGGAGACACTCTTGTCACAGGCGGCTCAGATGGCTCGGTGCGAGTTTGGTCACTGGAGAAGATGTGCCCCATTCATCGACTTGCGGCTCACGATAACAGCGTGACCAGCCTGCAGTTTGATGACACGAGGGTCGTTAGTGGTGGAAGTGACGGCCGGGTCAAGATCTGGGATCTGAAAACTGGTCACCTGGTCAGAGAGCTTATTGCTCAAGGAGAAGCAGTCTGGAGGGTGGCTTTTGAGGATGAGAAGTGCGTCGCTCTGGCTTTGCGACAAAACCGTACCGTCATGGAGGTAAGCAGTCGTTCTTTCAGAACTTTGGGTTATTCTCGTTGCTAACCAATATTACTAAGGTATGGTCTTTCTCTCCTCCGGAGGATGTTCTCTACGACCGTCCACTCTCTCTTCAACAGCGAGTCCTTCAAGAGGCGCCCAACAGACCCTTGAGCGCCATGCAGCTTGACTATAGACAAACCCAGCCCACTGTCGCTGGGTCCAGTCGAGAGGCTGCTGGAAGTCAAGACGTTGACATGAGAGACGCTGGTCCTTCTACAGCCCCGCTTCAGGGAGGCAACAAGACTTTCTTCCATGACGACTAGACATGGTCGGTCGTACGTTGAAGCCTCCCGCTTATCGAGTTATTTGGGTTTGAGCGGCGATACGGATTCGGTCGCAGGTGCACTGAACACCCGCGTTACCATGGCATCAATGAGGCGTTGCGGTTTTTTTGGTGATTTACGAAATCACACGTCATGAAACGACCATCTTTCACAAGCTCTCCAGCCTAGATCGAGGTAGCTCGAGAGACAAAGGGGTCGTCTATTTTTGGAGTTGGTCAGGAAGCATCATGTGCATTTCAAAGGATGGCCAGCATGGGTTTGACAGCATTAGGGATTCAATTTCAGTGGTTTAACTGGCGACAATCGAAGGATTAAGACTTCTGGATGCGAGCTCACGCAGATTTGAGCATGCGGTCAGCCAAACCAGACCTTTAATATACCCCGAGGTAGCGTACTGTAGAGTTACCTTGTATACCACCTCAGAACAAGTGCGACGGACTTTAGGCTTGAAGCTCGAGGCTCGGAGTTCCGGCCTGATCTGTGATGAGTAAGGTACCTACCTTAACCTGAAGTACTTTTCCTTTGTGCCCACATGGACAAAGTCTAGAGCCGCTTCCGTTGTGGTCTTTGAAATCGTTCCTGGCATATGAAAAGGATGAGGAAATGGCCTCGTTGAGTTTGATGACCCATGGTATCAATCATTCAAGTTCAATGGCATTCCCAGAGACTTAGGGTACCTCCGATCGGATGCTGTATTCTTTTCTAACCTGCCCTCATTAAGGTAACTTATTACGGATAGAGTAAGGTAGGGGTTTGGGTTTTCGCGGCGATTGGACCCAGTGCTGGGCTCTGTTTCCCTGCTATCTCCGAAGGCCGCTCTCGCTATCCACTGAATGCGAACTCGATGGGACCCGTGCGAGAATATGACCGACCGTTGGAAGCCGGGCCCGCCAAAGTCACAGCGCGCTCGAAGTTCACACCTCGCAAATCCCGTTGAGGCAGAGTCACGTGAAGGTAAGCTAGCCTCATACGGACTAGTAGTTTTCAACAAGCAGCAGCTCCCTTCCCAACCAACGCCGCGATTTTTCGGAGCTCCAGCGACCAAATAATTTGTTATCACCCTCCTTCCCCCGAACCCTTCTCATCCTCATCGTTCGGAGGCTCCATCATCACCACCCCCACGATGTTCTCCCGCGCGATCAGGTTAAACAGAGCAGTGCCTCTGCGCACTCGCGCCCCGGCCACTTTTGCTGCTGCATCCCGGTCCGTCACCACCAACGCTGCATCGGCAACTTTGGAGAAGGGAGTTCCCCAGGTCAGTTTGCGCTCTTTTCCCGTCGCCACATTCGTCGGGCATGCTGCGACAACAAAACGCCCCCGGATATGAAGGCGTGCCCAATTGCATCCTGCTAACCTGCAACGCTATTCTAGTCCGACGATGAGCCTTTCCAGATCACCCTGAGCGATGAGAGCTTCGAGACCTACCAGCTCGACCCCCCGCCGTACACCCTCGATGTCACGAAGAAGGAGCTGAAGCAGATGTACAAGGATATGGTTGTTGTCAGGTACGGACAATTCTGTTTCTCTGCAAAAAACGTATTTGCTTTAGCTTTGTTACTCACCGTATGCGCAGACAACTCGAGATGGCCGCCGATCGCTTGTACAAGGAGAAGAAGATTCGTGGTTTCTGCCACTTGTCCACCGGTCAGGAGGCTGTCGCTGTGGGCATTGAGCACGCTCTTACCCGCGAGGATGACTTGATCACTGCTTATCGTTGCCACGGCTTCGCCTACATGCGTGGCGGTACCGTCCGCTCCATCATTGGTGAGCTGTTGGGCCGCCGCGAGGGTATTGCGTACGGCAAGGGAGGTTCCATGCACATGTTCACCAAGGGCTTCTACGGTGGCAACGGTATCGTCGGTGCACAGGTGCCCGTCGGTGCTGGTCTGGCTTTCGCTCACCAGTACACTGGTCGCAAGAACGCCTCCGTTATCCTGTACGGTGATGGTGCCAGCAATCAGGGCCAGGTCTTCGAGGCTTTCAACATGGCCAAGCTCTGGAATCTGCCCGCCCTGTTCGGCTGCGAGAGTAAGTTTAGAGGGCGCTATGAAAGGTAATTGCATCGGTCGTGCTAACGGTTTTCCACAGACAACAAGTACGGTATGGGTACCGCCGCTGCTCGTTCCTCAGCTCTCACAGATTACTACAAGCGCGGACAGTACATTCCTGGTCTCAAGGTCAACGGCATGGACGTCCTCGCTGTCAAGGCCGCCGTCAAGTACGGAAAGGACTACACTGTTGCTGAGAACGGACCGCTCGTCCTCGAGTACGTTACCTACCGGTACGGTGGTCACTCCATGTCCGACCCCGGTACCACCTACCGTACCCGTGAGGAGATCCAGCGCATGCGTTCTACCAATGACCCCATCGCCGGTCTCAAGCAGAAGATCATGGACTGGGAGGTTGTCACTGAGGACGAGCTCAAGACCATTGACAAGGAGGCCCGCAGCTTCGTCAACGAGGAGGTTGCCGCTGCTGAGGCCATGGCCGTCCCCGACACCACCCCCAAGATTCTCTACGAGGACATCTACGTCCCCGGTACCGAGCCCCAGTTCATCCGTGGCCGCACCCCTGATGAGACCTACTACTTCAACTAAATTCCTGCGCATGATGAATAATTGTTTCCTAACCTTTCTGTCCTATTGTACAATACCTACTAGCTAGAGAGGGTGAAGTGGTCACAATCTGAACATGGCCAGGGTCTGCAGATATCCTCCTGGTTCGACAAATTTTTAGTTTCTCTTTGTGACTTCCAGCACACTGTGACATGATATGCACGCTGCTCATGCCTCATAAAAATTGAAAACCTCCTCTCGGCCTGGCGCAGTTACAATAGACCGACAACGGACAGTCTTCTTCCAGTGCATTAAGCCCAATTGGGGTGGTTGAGAAAACTTGGCCCGAAGCGGCGCATCGGTGGTCCAGGTCGCTGCCTACCGTGCCTGCCCATGCTGCCTGGAAAGTTTCTGTGGGCCCGTGCAGCTACGGGTCCTTTTCGCGTCACCAGGCAGGAGCTCTTAACGCGATTCTTTTTGCTCCAAGCGCGTCGAGGTTCCCCAGGGTCCTCCTACAACCTTCATGTCTGCTCTTCCCCGCCTTCTGAGCAGTTCAATCGGTCAAAGAAACGTATTTCGGGCAGTGTTTCATACCAATTCTCGACTCTTCACTGTCTACACTCGACCAGGCATCACAATGGCGCCAAAGCAGGCGACGCTGGGGTACGTCAAGCCATCTCAGACAACGTTGGGGTGTGTGAAAGGACAATGCTCCTAAGACTACCACGAATGCAACGGGATTTTTTTTCAATTCCAGCTATCGTGTGGTTCTAAAGAACGTCTGCTGACAGAGCTCTACAGAAAGTTCTTCGGAGCGAAAGGATCCAAGCCCGAACCCCAGCAGAGCAAGCTGAGCTTTGCCACCAAGGCAGCCCCGAAGAAGGAGATTAAGAAGGAGGTCAAAGAGGAGGACCATGCGGACAAAGATGCCGTCAAGACACGGGATTCTCCTAGCAGTGTGTTGTCATTTCATATGATAGACGTCTCCTGTTTCAATTGACTAACGAGTCAACTACAGAGCCACGGAAACGTACCAGAAGCCCGAGTCCCGCCGTTCAAGCATCGAGCCCGAAGGTCAAGAATGAGATTGTCGAAGAGGATGAGGACGATGAGCCTGCCACGAAGAGACCGCGCAGAGGCCGGAAACGTGTCATTGAGGACGAGGACGAAGACGAAGTGATGGACGAAGCTCGTAGCAAGTCCCGATCAAAGTCACCAAAAACCTCCCAGGCCAAAAAGAACGGTACAGAGATGTCTGCAAAGGCTGCAGACGCATCCAAGACTGCCCAACCGAAGAAAGCCGCCAAGTCTCCCACACCTGTCGTGGAGGACGATAAGGAGGATGCAACGGAGTCTGCGTCAGAAGATGACGTTGTTGAAGACGACGAAGAGGCCAAGCCTACAGCAGCGAAGAAGAAGACCTTGGAAAAGGTGCAGATGAAACTGAAGACGCAAACAAAGGACCCATTTCCTGACTGGAAGGCGGGCGAACCGGTTCCCTATGCCGCGCTCTGTACAACCTTCTCCTTAATCGAGCTCACGACCAAGCGGCTCGAGATTATGGCACACTGTTCTCTGTTCCTCCGACAAGTTCTGCGCCTGACCCCCGACGATCTTCTTCCTACTGTTCTGCTCATGATCAACAAGCTAGCCCCTGATTATGCCGGCATTGAGCTGGGCATTGGTGAGTCGCTCATCATGAAGTCCATTGGTGAATCCACCGGACGGAGTCTCGCAGTCATCAAGCAGGACCAGAAGGAAATTGGAGATCTCGGCCTTGTTGCCGTCAAGAGTAGATCAACACAGCCAACCATGTTCAAGCCCAAAGCTTTGACGATACGAGGCGTTCACAAGGGTCTCATGGGCATCGCCACTGTTTCTGGCAATGGTGCCCAGGGCCGTAAGGTGGACGCCATCAAGAAGTTGCTATCAGCAGCCGATTCCCAGTCCTCTGGAAAGGTGGATATCACGAAGGACAAAGGAGGTCCCAGCGAAGCCAAGTATCTTGTCCGATTCCTTGAGGGTAAACTTCGATTGGGACTGGCAGAGAGGTCTGTTCTGGTGTCTTTGGCTCAAGCTGTGGTCTTCCACGAGGCCGACGCCAAAGGTCAGGTGCCCAAGACGACAGACGTGGAACAGGCCGAGGCTGTTCTCAAGACAGTCTACAGGTTTGTGGCTTGGTCTTACAATTACCCGTATCCTCGTACTAACCATGTTTAGTGAACTTCCAAGCTACGATGTCATCATCCCCGCCATGGTAGAACACGGCATCATGAACTTGCGCGAGCACTGCAAGTTGAAGCCCGGCGTGCCCCTGAAGCCGATGCTGGCAAAACCAACGAAAGCTATCACTGAAGTTCTGGACCGCTTCGAGGACCAGACCTTCACCTGTGAATACAAGTACGATGGCGAACGAGCGCAGATCCATTACGTTGCGAAGTCCGCGGATGAGGAGATCAGTCAATCTTTGCCAGGAGCTACGACAGCTGCGGCAAATGGTGTTGCTGCCATCTTTTCCCGTAACTCGGAAGATCTCTCTAAGAAGTATCCCGATATCCTTGCCAAATTGCACACTTGGGTCAAGGAGGATACGAAGAGTTTCGTCCTTGACTGTGAGACAGTTGCGTGGGATGTTGACGAGAAGAAAGTCCTTCCTTTCCAGCAGCTGATGACGCGGAAGAAGAAGGACGTCAAAATCGAAGATGTCAAGGTCAAGGTCTGCGTTTTTGCTTTCGACCTCCTCTATCTCAACGGCGAGGCCATTGTCGAGAGGTCGCTCAGGGAGCGTCGCGAGCTCCTGCTAAATGCCTTTGCGCCAGTAGAGGGTGAATTTGCCCTTGCTACGCATATGGATGGGCAGGAATTGGAGCAGATCCAAGTATTCCTCGACGAGAGTGTCAAGGCGTCCTGCGAAGGCCTGATGGTGAAGATGTTGGACGGCTCGGAGAGCGGGTATGAGCCTAGCAAGAGGAGCCGAAACTGGCTCAAGGTAAGCCGCTTGGATCCCTTGTAGACGTCCACTGCGCCGATGATTTGTCGTGCTGACTGCATATTTCTAGATCAAAAAGGATTACTTAAGCGGCATCGGCGACTCGCTTGATCTCGTAGTATTGGGTGCATATTACGGCAAAGGCAAGCGTACATCTGTCTACGGCGCCTTCCTCTTGGCCTGCTATAACCCGTCGTCTGATTCGTATGAAACCGTCTGCAATATCGGCACGGGATTCTCCGAGGCCGTCCTCGAGGAACTGCACAAGCAGCTCTCGGACATTGTCATTGACCGGCCAAAGCCGTTTTACGCACACTCCTCGGGCGGGCAACATCAGCCCGACGTGTGGTTCGAGCCTCGTTACGTCTGGGAGGTCAAGACGGCCGATTTGACGCTCAGCCCGCGCTACAAGGCCGGGTGTAAAGAAGGTGTCGACCCCGGCGGTGAAAAGGGAATCAGTCTGCGCTTTCCGCGCTTCATCAAAGTGCGCGATGACAAGAAGGCCGATGAGGCCACATCCAGTCGCCAGGTGGCTGAAATGTATCGCAAGCAAGAGAGCGTGACCAAGAGCAAGGGCCCTGCGGTGGATGATGATTTCGAGTATTAATTACAATGGAAGGTTTCAAATCTTTGCTAAGAGAATTGGCGAATCATGGCGTTCTTACATGGCTCTGGGCGGGATTACGATATATGCGGGTGCTTCCGCTCATCACGACGGGAAAGGAGGTTAGGTTGAAGCATGACTTTTTAGTTTGCAGAATCGCATACATAGGTACTTGCAAAACATGTTCAAATTTTTGCGCCACGCAAATGGAGACACATGCGATTTTCCCTTAATACCGACTGACATGTGTGTGCGGACTTTACCTATTCGTCCCGTGTTACTTCTGCTCGGTTCCTCTCCTCTTATCTCGCATGTCTCACGACGGGAGGAGAAAAGCGCAATCCCGCGGGATGTGTAAGCGTATAGATCTACTTTGCATTTGCATGTGGCCGCCGCGCCGGCAGATGCATGTGTGATCTGCGTCATTCTGCCTCTCTCTGCCTTTTGTTCCCTTCGTCTCTGTTTTTTTTTTTTTCTTTCTTCTTTTTCCCGCGAGCATTGCAGCTTGCATTGCCAAGAATAACCTTGCATCGGACATTTTTCCACGTACGTTGTAATAGATGTGCAGATGACATGTGCTAGCTACACAAGTCCCCGAAGATGATCTTGTCAATTTCCAAGCAGCTGACATGACCAGTGTTGACCAATATTGGCAGTACCTGTGAGAAATGGGTTATAACATGTTTGTAATTTGTAGCACCTGCGTCTATTCTACAAGCTATACAAACACTCGACCCCAGGTTCTATGGGCCGTAAAGTAAGGCTTGAGAAACCTATACAATTCGGCTTCTAACCTTATCTACTGTACGGATGCAAACTTGAAAGGGCCGGACGAAAACTTTCTAGGCTCTAGCGACACCCCCCTTCTTACTGACATGTTCCTTTGCGACCTTTCCCATACCGATGCCCTTCCTTCGGCCCCGAATCACAGCCTCCAACGCCTTGCCGACGGCGGGCATGTCACCGAGCATGGTCAAGTGTCCGCGCTCGGTGCTGACACGCCCACCGCGTACCAGCTCATACCCCTCTGGCAGCTGCGCCTCGCGCGCAAGAACCACGCCATCGCCGGCGCGGAAAATGAGGTCGTCGTAGGCTTGTGCATGGCAGATGGCCTCGCGGCTGCTAACCTTGACGGCGTACACGGTGGGGACTTCCTTGCCGTAAATGATGCCGAGAGGAGGATACGCGTTGGCCTCTGATAGCGCTGGGTTGAATTGTGTTTCCTGACGGAATCTCTTGACCTCGGCAAGGGTACGCTCGAGGTAGGCGATATTTCTGGCGCGGTTAGGGGGCGTAGGTGTGCCAGGCGCCCCCTTTGTGAATGGTGATGGTTTGTTGCCGTCTATCTGTGGGTTAATGCCTCCTTCCCGGACGTGCTCTACCCTCCGGGCCGCGTCGGCAACTGATGGCGGCAAGACATGGTTTTGTTTCTTCTCGCTTGAGCTGCGACTGCGGACCGATAATAGAGAGCTGAACGTCGTCGACTTTTCCTTTGGTACTAGGGGAGGTAGCGGAGGCTCAATACAAGGCGTGAGGCGGTATTTGACCCATTCGTTTACGTCGTGAAAGTCGATATTGTACTCCTCCTTCGTGTCCTTGTTAACAAAACAGAAGCCGTCGTCGGGCAGAAACACGAAGGATGTTCTGAGTGAGAAGTTGACTTGCGCGGTCAGGATCTTCTCGTTGAGGAGGACTGCGTCGCCGTCTCTCAGGGGCCCTAGGACGTTGATGCACCGCTGAGGTGTACCAACGTAGACCACTCCGGAGAACAGATCCGGTCTCTGGTTGACGACGTGGCGGGTGATGAGACCACCGAGGCTGTGGGCCAAAACTAGTGCGCCTCTAGGCTCTTTCGAATCCGCCTGGTTGCATGGCAGCTTTTCCAAGAACTCCACCATCTTGCGGGATAGTAAATGAGGGCTCAGCCTCCAGTCGTAGCCATAATCATGCAAACGTAATTTTCCTTTCCGAACGTTTTCGCAGGCGGCAATCTTCTTGAATAGCTTTCTGGAGATATCGATGGGGCCGATGTTTTGAAGCATGCCTGATGGGATGATGCGCTCTTCCATTGACTCTTCGTCTTCGGGGTCAAGGCCGACCTCCAAGTCCGCCTTCCTCATGTTGAGTCCGATTTTGACTGGAGCCCATAGTTGGTGGTGCGGAGGCTCTGCTGATCGTAGAATCGAACCACGGTAACCGCCGAGGATCACTATGTCCCCAGTCAACGTCTCCAGCACTCTATCTAGATTTGATAGTCCGTCGTTGTCCACTTTGGGTGCTGGAGCTTCGGGGACGGCCTTGCCCGTTGCGTCTTCGTTGAGTTTGAGTGACGACCCCAGTTTGGGTAGGCTTGGCATTTTAAACGTCGGTCTTTCGGGTAGACTGTCTTTGATGGCCTTCATCCTCACATTGGCCATTTCCCTGACGTGATCAAACCTGCCATCGTCGTCACCGATGGACGATGTGCGGGATAGCGAATGGTACAACAGCGAATCATCGGATGTAACTCGCCTCAAAACGCGGGGTCTTGTAGTAGAAGGTCTCCCAGATGATACGGACGGACGATTACCGGATGCTTCATTGGCCATCGTCTGCGCACGAGGAAGACCGTTGGCACCGCTAGATATGGCAGCTGTGTTATGATAAGGCCTTCTACTCTGAGTCAGAGGGGATTTCCGCTGTTCAGTTGTCGTCGTCGTCGTCGATCTCGGTTCCGCCTTCTCTGCGGCCGCAGTAAAGAAGGATAAAGAGTTAAATATTGCTGAAGGAGCCGGGAACGAAGAGAAAGCATTCGAGAACTTCTTTAGCGCATCAGCTCCCGTAGATGATGAGCGTTTATGTCTGGTTTGACCGAAAGATACGGATTCAAGGGCGCTCTTTGGCGCTTCACCGTCCCCACCACCAAATATCATGTTCCGTGGACTGGACTGCCATGGCGAAGGCAGGTCTTCCTTTGGGGCGGGCCTAGCTTTTTGGAGCTTTTGAGACTCCCGTCTGCGAGGCGGCGCTGGTGAGAGGGGAGTGTCCGACTCGGTCTCGAAATTGGTAGGGATCTCGTCGGGGAAGGGCGTTAGTTCTGGCGAGCTAGCGGAATCGTCACTGGTCGTGGTGCCAGGCAGGAACAGTCCAGATGACTTTCTCTCCCTCTCCCTCTCCAATGCAGCAGCTCTCTCCGCTTTGGATGTTTGTGGTAGGGTGAGTCGAGTTGCAACAACACTCAATGCAGGTTGCATGACGGACTGGGCGCCATCCTGATCATCGTCACCATAAACTGGATCTTCGGATGGGACCTTTTCTAATGTCGGGGACGGGGACCTCCTCCTTTCATTGATGCCTTCTTTTTGAGACATGGCTACCATCGTGAGTTTTCTCGTCAAATGTGCTGAGAAATCGAATTGTCGGATAGCAGGGCGTATAAGAGTTATGAAAGTTGCAGTTGGCAGCCGGGCGTTCCGGGTGTTAGCTCAATGGCACATGCTCAATGGCCTTTTTGGGAAGAGTAAGAGTGGACACCAGCCGGTGCTGCACCGAGGTCAGTACGGGAGATTGACCTGAACAAGAGGACAAAACCGACACGGCGAGGTAAAGGAGGACCTCAAGAGTCTGGGGAAAAGCTGGGTCGAGGGCTATACCTATGGCCCAGTCAAGGCGAAAGGATAGAAATGTGCCTTGCTGAGGTGTAGGGCCTCTAGGTTGTGTGTGACGAGGTGGTGGGATTTAGAAACGATGATTCAGTGTAACACTCCGATCTGAAAAGACGTAGATTTGACAATGACGAACCAGATAATTGGAGCAGGGGTAGGGAAGCACCGCGTAGGTGATATAAGAAGGAGAAGCTAAGGTAGCAGTAGTAATAGTAGGGTGCATAAGGTAGTCGTACCTTTCTACTTAGAAAAGTAGAGTACCTAACCGCGTATCTATACGGAGGGTAGCCCACGTGTGCCCACTTGTACCCGTCCTACCTATCCGTACCTATGGACTAAGGAATGCACCTTACGTTTGACGTGCGCGCGTGCCTTGCCTTGACAGAAAACTCGATTAAGGAACGGCAAGGTACCACTCTCGCCTCAGTCCGAGATGTGGGTAATAGCCAACACACACGACCGCACAACCTGAAGACTGGAGCATGAAAGGGAAGCTTGCTGATGTTCTTCCCGCTGCGTACCGTAGTAGTTGCGTAGACGGTAGGTGCTAATGAGTAAAGAGCAGAAGTCTGATATGCACAGAACTGCGCCTCCCTCGCCCGAGAACCAGGGGTATCCTTTCTCGGGAGTACATCGAATAGATCTCCGGCAGGAAGGGGTTCAGGCTCAGACTGCCAGATATCGAATGCGGCTAGCCTAGAGATCGCTGTGTGTTCATCTCACTGCTGTTTCTCCCGCGCTCGACCGACATTTCCTTTCCAATTGCCATACCGAACCGTCCTTTCTGTCAGAGGGGCACGGATAACGGCAATAAGTGGGAGGCTGCTGCGCAGGTAGCTGTGCTTTTGCTCTATCAAGGCCAGTGTGCGGGACGTGGGTTTGGAAGAAGCCATGGACATATTCTTTTCCTTCTTCACCCTCATCTTCTTCTCCGCCGTTGCGCTGTTTTGCACCAGGGGCGCTCTGACCGATCCAATCGCTAGGTGTCCCTCGTCCTAGGATGAGGCCGGGATTCGAGTAATGCTTGTTTTTTCGGTGTAGTAGTCAGCGGGCGTATCTTTTTTCCAAGGTTCTTGCCTATTTCTTCCATTCTCTGCCCAATGCCACTGACATAATCACATGCGCCGTCTGCGTCTTAGCTCCCGCCCCACCGTGTCTTAGCCACCAATTGGAACCTGCGTCATTGGCCAATGCTCATGGCCCACTTGGTCGGCCGGCAGCAACGGACCCTGCGGCACCCGATGATCCGGCATTGCCATGTCGATCGGCCCAAGTCAGCTTGTCAGGCTTTCCCGTCGATTTTGCTGCTTGACTTTGATGCCTATAATTGTAGAGGGGACATGGACAAACGCTATCAGCACCAACGGTTTTAGGATGACAGGGAGAACACCAATTTCACATGTGTCGACATGAATATCCAGCGTGAATCCATCATGAATGCATAAATGTGGTCTACCAAGGAGTTGGGTACCTATACCTCTTTGCTAACCTGACATGCCTACCTTGGGAACGGTACTTGGAAAGCATACTCTCGGGTATCTGAGAACATGCGGATATAAGGTGTTGTTAGCAAAAGTAAGCTCGGTCAAATGGCCTGATGGTAACCTCAAACTTGCAAACTTCGAGGCTCGAGGATTTAGATTGGCCTGATTAGACGTTCCATGGTGATTCCAGATTCCGGACTCTTGCTTGGGTTGATCTGATGTACGGCACGCCCAATGCAGCAATCTATACCGAGCCATCCAGCACCAAGCACGTTTCCTCGCTTCGTGGCTTCCAATCCACCCACGGACGGACCTGGAGCCTCAGTACTGTTTGGACAGAGGTGGACTTTGGTGTTTGGCCTTTCCATCAGATAAGAATTCTTATCGCCCCACTAATTACCAGACACATCTGCAGGTGCAGCTAACGACCTTACCCGCGCTTGCACCTGCGTCTCCGAGGTCTTTGTGCCTATGAGGGACGTCATTGCTAGGCCAAGCCGCCAACCCAATGGAAAGCCTCACCCGCCCGCGACCGCGACTGCCATGTTGGCCCGGCTTCAGTGTCGCATCCCTGCCCCGCGAAATCCAGTGCATCGTCCGCGATTTGCAGTATGGAGTACGTAAGGCAAGCACAAGGTACCTACCTTGCCCAACTGCCCTCCAGCATCCAGAGAAGGACAAGGTAACTCAAGGAGGCTTAGACCAAACCGCCTCGCCAAACAGATTCCCCCAACGTCTTGTCACAAACACAAACAGCTCTCGAGCTTCGTTTCCCACCCTCCATTGCCATTGTCATCGTCCCATGCATTACCCTGTTTGTTGAGCTTACTCTTTGTGCTCCCCCCGGCTGGCCTCGTCTCGCAAGCATTCCTCCGGGCTCCCTGATCTCCTCCATCTGCCTATCCGAGCCGTAGAATATTCTCCGAAGCTATGACTACCCTTGAACCTCGCCAACCTTACACCGACGCCGAGTTGCGCCAGCTGTACCCTCCACAGCTCAAGCTCCAGCTCGTGCAGATCCTTCTCCGGCACGGCGAACGAACTCCCGTCAACCCTCGCTTTCCCAACACCGGCCTTCCGGAGTACTGGCCCTATTGCAGTGCCGTTCGCCACCTCCGAAATGCTGTTCTCGATCCGGACGCCGGTGAATATTCATACCTTGATTGGAAGAGGCGTCTCGAGGGATTCGGTTCTAAAGATGATAGTCCTGTAATCGTTGCCGGCCCCAATGGCGAGCTTGACGATATCTGTGATCATGGCATGCTTACGGACCGCGGCCGAGAGACCACCCACCAACTAGGCAGACGCTTTCGTGACCTCTACGTCGATCAACTCGGCTTCTTGCCCAGAGACCTCACCGACGCGGAGTCTCTGTATCTTAGGTCTACGCCAGTCCCGCGAGCTCTGGAGTCTCTCCAACAAGCCATTTCTGGCCTATATCCGGCTAGGCATCGGGCACCCGATCTCCCTGCACTCACGATCCTAGGGCGGGTACAGCCAGACGAGACTCTCTTTCCCAACGAAGGCCACTGCCGGCGATTCAACATTCTCGCCCGCGCATTCGCTCAGCGGACTGCTGAGCGATGGAACAACACTCCAGAGATGGGCTACTTGAATAAGAAGCTCGGGAAATGGATGGAAGATGGTAAACTCATTGCCGTCGATTCTAAGCCTAGGCTTAGTGGAATCATGGATACCATCAACGCATCACGCGCACACGGCCCAAAAACGAAGCTACCCTCGGAGTTCTACGATCCCAAGGTACTCTCCATCATTGAGAGAATTGGTGTAGAAGAATGGTATAGCGGATACGGCGAGAGCCAAGAGTATCGTACACTTGGCATAGGTGGCTTGATGGGCGATATTGTCGCTCGTATGGTCGGAAGCGTCGAACACAGTCCGGCAGACGGAGCCTACGAGGTCAAGCAAGCTAGCGCAGCTCCCAAGCCTATCAAATTTGGTATGAGCGGCTGCCATGATACCACTCTTGCGGGTATATTAGCCAGCCTGGGTGCCTTTGGTCCAGACAAGTGGCCTCCGTTCACGAGCCATATCGCTGTTGAGATGTTCCGCGATCCCCAGGTTCCATCGATTCCAACGCAGGCACCCAAGAATGAGAGCTGGTTCGGCTCGTGGTTCTCCACCGGCACGACGGTGCCGGGTACGGCTCCGCCAAGCATTGGTCGGAAGCCGACCCCCGTATTGACAGATATCGAGAAGAAGAAGCTAGACGGTTACTACGTAAGGCTTCGGTACAATGACGAGCCAGTGACCATCCCCGGCTGCAAGGCTGTTGGCAACCATCTTGAAGGCGATGAGTCCTTTTGTACTTTGGTAAGCTTCCAGACCTCGTTTATGAGGTGATCGCGTGTAGCTGACCCAAGCCTAGGCCGCCTTTAAGTCGATTGTCGACAAGTACACGCCTGTTGACTGGAAGAACGAATGTCGTGGCAACCATGATGCGTCCGCCTTTCCGGTCAAGCCCGAACCGGCAGGATACTAATGGTTTCCAGAACCGCTAGGTGTCACCAAGTTTATTATCGAGACATCAGTAGTGGTAATGACTACGTAGGATAGAGGAGAAGTTGCTTTGTGCATAGACGAGTGGCAGGTCACCGTACCCTGAGTAGCGTCACGATCTACATAGACCCATTGCTTTTTTGTTGAGTTTCCTCTTTTTCGTCAATGTCAGGGGTTGAGTGTGTCAGGGACCATCCTTCAAAGGGCGAGGTTATGTATTCGTGTTACATGTCTGTTTAGAGCTAGAGATCTCCCAAAGCCCATGATCAGAAATGGGTTCCAAGACCTTTGAACTAGAAGCTTGATGTTCCATCAAAGAACACAAAGACTTGTGTGATAAGATCTGATGAAAACTTTGTCCGATCTAATCATCTTGGAATTTCTATAGGCGCCAAGAGCTTGAGGGCATCTCGGCGTCTCATGTATCCCAAGAATCTACTAAAGACGGTTCGCGGTGTCTGATAGCCAGCCTTAGCATGCATGCTCGGACAATGGGCGAGTGGCATCTGCACGCCGTACTAGGGTGCAGATCTGTTGAGCTACGCCCGGATTGCGCTAGATCCTGAGAATTTCAATCGTTGCATCCTGTAGGGCTAGGAATCAAGAGCTTATTATTCCTTACTTCATGATCTTCCAGGTATGAAACATGGCGCTTATTCGCCTCGAGTTGCTGGATGTAAGTTCTTAGGACACGGATTGCGATGCCAATGCAAGCGGGATGTCGTTTTAGAGAATGACTCTCAAGAAATACGTATTGCGCATTTCCGTGAGACGATTGAAGGCAAGCGACGGCGAATCTCAGGAGTACTGGCAGTGACTTAGATTTGGCTGGAAAGTCGTAGTCCTGTCTAAGATAGGTGATGTCAATAAATAGAGCCAGTTCGCATTACTACGACGGGGCAGGGCATCAAACCCCCAAGTCCCGAGGCATCGTCAACTATATGAGACATTGAAGCTGTCGGTCTTAACTACAGAGAATCCAAGTTCAGAAGTTTCTCCTCGATATAATCTATGATCCTTTGCTCTATCCAAGGAGAGAATACAACAAGAACGGGGAAATGAGGAGGCCGCCAAAGGCGCAGAACGCGCCAGCGGTAAAGGTCATAGCTCCAGACATCGCGGGGTGGGCTGTCTCGAAAGAGCCAAGCTCCAAGGCGACATTCAACTACAAAGTCTCCAACAAGAGAAGCCGGCATGATTTTCCAGCCAAATCAAAGACACCGACCGCCCTTGCGGGGTCTTCCAATTCGCCAGGAGCACGTGGAGACACAGTTGGACCAGCTAACCCGTTAGCCAGCTGCAGGTAATATCGCAAACCTCAGCTGGTGATGGTGTCGTTGACACGGGTTGGAAGGAGCTCTGCACAGCGCAGGGCACAAAAATTCCCTGTCGAGCTGGCGGGTGGGGTACCGCCGTACCGGAGCCCTGGCCGATCCACCGTCTCCATCCAACCATTGGATGCACAGGTGGGGTTCCATATTGACGTCGCCGGCGGCGCCGAATCCGTGGGAGGAAGTCCCAACTGACCCCTTCTTCCGTGAAGGTAGGTCACTTTTGGGGAGCAAATGGACGGGAAGATGGCGAAAAGGGAAGGGGGGAGGGAGCCCGATTCGTCTCATTCACACCAGCAGCGCTTCTCGACGTGCCTGCTTCCAGACCAATGTGATACCATGCCGAGAAAAACCGGGCAATTCTACCTACTGCAGTATTACATGCTACCTACTGCAGCAGGGAAAGACGCCAGCTCTCTCTTGGTACCGTCCCATGTTTGCTCAAATCAGGTTTCTTGGCAGAGCTAGCGCACCAAAGCTCTCCAAGCTCGACACCTTGAGTACCTTTTTAGCTGTGGCGGGGTACGGAGTACACGATCAGAGACATCCAGAGTAGTGTCACCGGCTTTGCTGCGGATGAGACTATTGCGTGCCTTGCTCGCACATCATCGCTGGCACGGCACGTTGACGCTGCCGACACGTCAACTGCAGGTCGCAGTCCTTACGCCCGTCAGGATGGTGTTTCTCGATTCCACCTTTCCATCTTGGAGATGCGTTAATGTGTCTCCGGAATGACGACATAATGGTGGACCAGGTGCCAGTTACCCGAGCCCAGCAACTCCGTACCAAACCTCGAGATGATAGCTAACACCTTGGTTGCTATTGTTTCCTCACATACGACAAGACGCAAAAACCGGCATCTACTCTTACTCATGGCGATGGTTGCCGGCCTGCCTCTGGCCATGAAGGCTTTTCTTCGCCTTGGCCCGCAGGTCTCTCGGAAAGGGAAAATCAAGGATCTCGCAGTCCACTTTCATACAGTTCTATCCCGCAGCCTGGTCCTGCTCTGCCCGCTTGGCCATCTAAGACACATCCCTTCAAAGCTGAAGGACAGCATCTTAGCCTAGTCCAACTTTGTCCTAGGAGGACGCATACACAAACGCTTCTCCAATTGACGTGCCAAGTGGCGCGACATGGTCCAACGTCTCCCAGATTACCACCCCATGGTGGTCCCCATCCCCTTCAGCTAGGTAGGCAAGGCAAAAGACCGGTTTCTCAGAGTGACCAAACAAGCTTCCCACTACACCTCTCCTTCCTTCTCTCCCGGCCCCCAACTCCCGAGTCCCCAACAGGCGGATGACGGGGTCCCAGGTATGGCGTAAACGTGCATCTTCCTAGCGTGCGACCCTCGCTCGATGGACCACTGCCTCGTCGATCGAGGAGGGTCCCGAGGAGTCCTACGGGGATGGAGGGGTTGGAGGGGATGGATGGTTGGAATAACAGGGTCCAACGCATGTGGGAGTGTAATTGGCATCATGGTACAGCCTGAAGTCGATCTTGATTGTTAAATACCCTTCGAACCCCTCAACCTCATCGAATGTGGTTATAGTTTAGCACAAATCTCATCATCATCTCATTCAACTCACCTTACAACCAAAACCACCTCCCAATCTTCACACATCATGTCTTACGGCGGTAACGACGACGTAAGTAACACATCTATGACATGCCACCCCCCCAAGCTGCCCTCACTAACACCATCCCCCAGTCCAACTACGGTTCCTCCCGCAGGGACAACGAGGACAGTTACGGCACCTCAGGAACCACCGGCGGCTTCGGCTCCTCCACCCGCGACAATGAGGACTCGTACGGCTCCTCGCGCCGTGACAACGACAATGACAACAGCTACGGCTCCTCCACCCGCCGCGACAATGACGACTCGTACGGCTCCTCCAACACGGGCCGCAGCGGCAACGACTCGAGCTATGGCTCGTCGACCCGTCGCGACAACGACACCTCGGACAGCTACGGCTCCTCGGGTCTGAGCTCGTCGCGCAGGGACAACGATACCTCGGACTCGTACGGCTCCTCTCGCCGTGACAACGACAATGACAACAGCTACGGCTCCTCCCGCAAGTCGGACAACGACACCTACGGCTCTGGCAACAAGACCTCGTCCTACGGAGACGACTCAACCTCCTCCAACCTCGCTGGCGCCGACTCCCTCTCGTACGGCAACACCAGCTCTAGCCGCCGCGACAACGACAACTCGGATAGCTACGGCTCCTCCGGTAACACAGGCTCCTACGGCTCTTCCCGCAAGGACAACGACAACGACGACAGCTACGGATCGTCAGGCAACACCACCGGATCCTACGGCTCCTCCCGTAAGGACAATGACACCTCCGACAGCTACGGTTCATCCGGCAACACTGGATCCTACGGATCCTCCCGCAGGGACAACGACAACGACAACGACAACAGCTACGGATCGTCTGGCAACACGGGATCCTACGGCAGCAGCGGCAGGGACAACGACACCTCTGACTCGTACGGCAGCAACAACAAGAGCGGCGACAGCAAGGTCGGCAAGTTCCTCGAGAAGGCGGGCGACTTACTCAACAGCGACAAGCTCGAGTCCAAGGGCCAGTCGAAGCGGGAGAATGCCGGGTACGGGAACAACAACGATGACTACTAGTTGCTGCTAGTCGAGTAGCTCTCGTGTTTCTTGTATCGGGATGTTTGCGGTGGAAAATATGACTTTGTCTTGGAGGGGGCGTTCCCTCTGTGTGGATGCCCCTTTTCCATCTTTTGATGATGATTATGTACTAGCGAGCTCTGAACGAGATATTAATACCATTTGAACACCACCTACCTATCCTGAAAAATGGTGACTTTTTTTGCGTCGTAGTGTCCGATACCCCACGTCGAGAACATTAGGCTTTGTTCTGTTTCGCTGGTTGTTTGTGTCCATTAAACTTGAGATTGAGCCATGCTATGCTGAAGTCGATACCGGATTCATCAGCGACCAACGAGACTTGTTTGATGATGGGTGATCCGATAATGATTGATGTTCTCAAAGTGAGAGGGTGAGAGCCCACAACCTGATAATGATGCTCCAATTTGAATGCTCTTAATGCTACGCTATGGAAATACCTCAACCCATTCGTACCATCACCCTCACTCACAAAGAGAACGGGGCTAACGAAACTCACGTCAACTGCTTGGTAACCCTCACAAGCACAACCCCGTCCGTCAACCGTCCCTCGCAATCCATGAGATGCACAAACCTATACCCGGCCCTCAACCGATCCAACCGCACCGCCGCCCACGCAGCCAAATCATCCCGCCCAATCTCATCGTCCCTAACGGTGAACCTCACAAACGTCAGGGCCTCGACCACGCCCGGCACCCCCGCGAACTGCAAGGTCTCCCCCTTGAAATCCGGGTCGACGCCGCGGTTCGATTTGGTCTTGGCCTTGTACTCGCTCTCGCGCTCGCGGCCGTCGTCCTTGATGTGCGCGCCCGGGAGACGCTCTTCGGGGGACTCAACGTGGATCTCGACCTTGACGTAGGGTTTGAAGCCCGAGATACGGGTGTCGCCTGGCGGGAGGGGCAGGTTTTGGGCTGCGAGGACGTCGATTTGTAGGTCGAGGGTTTTGTAGATGATTTGCGGGGTGGTGGGTGAGGATGGGTCTGGGGTAGAGCCGGTTTTGAGGCATCGGTAACCTATGGTTTGATGTTAGTTTAATATTCTTGGGAGATGACAGGGGAAAAAAAAAGAGGACAACCAACCCTCAGGCTTCAAAACATAACCCTTGGTACCCGCAAACATGCCCTCGTTGAGCATCATCCCCTCGTCCCAGTTCTGCCAGTTGAGCGCGACAATCTGGATGCCCCTGCGCCAAAAGACGGCCGCGTCGAGGTTGGACGACCCGATGCGCAGGCCAGACGGGTACGCGCGCATCAGGTAGTGTCGGTTGTGGTGGAAGAGCGCGTCCCCCTGCTTCTCGTGCACCTCCATGACGCCCTTCTCCGACAGCGAGAAAATGTGCGTCGGCATCGAGGCCTCGGGCTGCGTGAGGGACTTGAAGGACACGCCGCGGGTGTAGACGCCCAGCCTGCTGAGCGCCTGGATGATTTTGGAGGGTTTCGCCGCAGCCTTTTTGCTTTTTGGCGGTGGTACCGGTGGCGTGGTCTTGCCGTCCTCCTCCGAGTCTTCGTCCTGCGCGCCAGTCACGCCAGAGCCTCCCGGCGGTGGTGCGTACTTGACTTTCACGAGGATCTTGCCCATGAGGTCCGCGGGCCGCGGGAGCTCGGGGGCGTCGACGTCGGGGGTGGGAACGAGAAGGCCCGCCCATGTGTCCTCCATGATCTTCACCATGATCTCCTGCTGCTCGGCGCTACAATGCACTTCCAGACTGACAATAAGGGGCGTGTCGGCCGAGTGAAAGCCATAGTCGCGGATCGTCTCGCAGACGTGCCGGAAGGGCACCTCCTTGGTGAGGGTGTAGCCGTGGAAGACCTGGGGTTCGATGGGGAACATCCTCGGTGAAGGGGTCTTTTGCAGCGGCGGTTGCTCCGTTCCGGGAGCCGTCTCCTTGGGGGTGGTTGTGGCGGTGATGCTCTCCGCAGCAGAGGCGGTAGCCGTAGCCGGAGCGGGAGCGGCAGCGGTAACGGCTGACCGGGTGATGGCCGTCTCCGTCGGCGGGCTCGTAGACTTTTCAATCCTCTCATCCATCTTCTTCCCCAACGAAGTCTTCTCCAGCCTACTCGCCAGCGACCCGGGCATCTTATCCTTGAGCATCGCAAGCTTGCTCCTCTTCTCCTTCTTCGGCTTCGCCTGCCCCGAAGCAGCGGCAGCAGCAACGGCCTCCTCGTCACTGCTACTCACCGACGTACCATCCTCATTGTCGGAATCGTCGCCGTCCCAGACGTCAATCTCGATACACCGGCACCCTCTCACCAGCACGTTCCTGTACGCGTCGGTGCTCGACTCGCTGTACAGCTGGTTGCCCGTTAGGTAGGTGTTGTGGCTGGAGCTGATGAAGTAGCTCGAGAGCGGGTACGACAGGTCCTCCTCGTGGACGGGGCGGGTGATGGCCGAGGCGGACGAGGTCATGTAGTTGAGGAAGCCGTTGAAGTCGAGTTCCTCTGGCGGTGATGATGCTGCTGCTCCCCCTGCTGCTGCCTCAGACGTGTTGGCAACCAGGCACTCGGGCGTCTCCTCAGCCTGGACGTTCTTCACGAACGAGGCAATCTGCTCCTTATGCCACTTCTTGTCGTCCTGGCCGGCGTGGACGTTGAAGATCTTTGTCAGGTGTGGTATGACCGAGTCGCCGAGCGTCTTGACGGTGCGCTCCGTCTCGCTGGCGCCGCCGCCGGCCTGGTATCGCAGCGAGGGCTTGGAGGGGTCCGATGTTGCGGACACGATGGTGCCCTGGGGCAGAGGGGCAGCTGCCGTTGCTGGTGCCGCTGCCGGTGCTGTTGGTGCTGCTGTGTCCGCCATGATCTGTTTTTGTGTGGTGATGACTTTGATGAGGCGGTGAAGAGGAGGGATGGAGAGAATAGAGGTGGGAAGAGGTCCGAAAAGGGTGATCAGGAATAAATTTGCGATGAACGGCGAGGAAATAAGAATAGTGAGACGGTGGATGATGCAAGCTGAACCACGAGATACAAGCCGCGTCTCGTGTCCCGGTATCAATCAGCCACTAGGCACAGGTAGCGCGAGCTTGTGATACTTCAAGGGGAAAAGGTAACGAAGGTTTCCAGGTTCAGAGAGAGCTACAGTAGCTACGTAAGTCAAGCCAAAAAGCCAAGCTACTTCTATTAGGTACTCGGCTCGCTGCCCGAAGGTCCTAATGTCAATATGTGGGCAGTACGTCAACCCGCGCCCCAAGCTTCCCCTTCCCCAGCCCAAAAAAAAAAAAAGAGGTCCAGTCGTTGCTTTCCGTGGGTGGTGATCCATGGGTAGGGGACCTGGGAACCGACTGCCATGAGAGGGTGACAATCTTGTTTTTTGACCCGCTACGCCGCTTGGGCAAAATATAGAAATCCAGTTACCTTTCAGCTTGGCAAGGGTGGGCAACGGTCACTCCTTTCTCTTCTTCAGGGGGGCTGGTATAAAGCTCGCTCGAGCTTTCGACTGGCACACTGGGCATCGAATCGTGGCAGCTTATAGATAGCGGGGAATACGACTGGGAGGTGGTGAGCTGAGGCGTCCAGTCTCCTTTCTCCCCTCTTCCACCCCCCTGGATGATGTGGGATGTCGTCACAGGGTTCGTTCTAGCGGTAAAGAAACAGAACGCAAAAGCCCAGGACCTGACCGCAACGATCCCGACCCCTGGGACCCTCTTATCGATAGTGTCAACCCCGCCAAAATTGTGAACCCCTCATTTTTGTTAGTGCCGGTTCTCTTCGTCTGCGACATTACCCCTGTATCCTTCAGCTTCAATCTGAAGTCGCTGCTCATGGAATCAATTTAGTGACAACTACAGTTTACAACGACTTACGATGTCAATTGAAATCACACGAGAAACCTCCATGTCTTTCGTCGGGACCTTGCATATGTTTTAACGCCGTTCGAGCATAATTATCAGGGACGGGCCGCACCGGCTTCAGGGTGTGGGCCAAACTCATGCTCACACTCACGCTCATCCTGGCTCACCTCATTTTTCAGATTCAGCTGGTGTAAAGGTACAATTCACCCGGTGACTCGATAGCCAGCTCACATATCTCACCACTATTTGAGGTTCAAAGTATTGTAAGTTGACCATGGAGTATTCCAAGTAAGCCATGGGTGCTTGAAAATGCTCACCATTTGCAAGTATCTCTTTACATAATTCGTTTTCATGTATACTAGTATGTATGTATATCATTTGACTGAGTCCTGTGATATGACTTTTGAACCATGAGGAACTTTTCATCCAAGAGGCACGTATGCCAGCTTTGATATGCATATATATTTATATAAATATATTGATCGATTTTAGGATAAAATAATTCGCTCATAAATGTCGTCAGGTCATAAGGCGTGATAGCGATAGTTTACACAAAATCCATCCACCATCCACCCACCATCTATATACCCATCTCTTCAGAATGTTAATGTCGTTTTCTCTCACAAGCTCCTTTTCTCACATGGCTACCCACAAGCCCTACAGCCCATCATGGCCGTATGGGCGACGTGACCGAAGTCCAGGTATTCGCCTTGCTCATCGTCCGCTTCCTCATCATGGCCATGATATCCGCCTCCATGTGCTCGATATTCCTCTCCAGATCGGCGTCCTCGACGCGGAACTGGCTCTCGCGCCGCCTGTCAAACACAATCCACCCGCCGACGATGAGAATCGTCAGGGGCACTGTAATGGCGAAGTACACCCACAGCTCCTTGGAGATGACAGGGTCGGCGTCTACCCTGACAGTCAGTAAACAAAAAATCTTTTGAGTCGAATTACCTAGCCTCCTGTGTCGAGGTTGCTGAGTTGTTATAACAAAAAGACCACACTACGTACCTTTGGCAAAGTCGAAAAACGTCATGCTAAAAACAGACGCGAGAAACGTGCCGGGAAGGAAAACGGCACCGAGTAGCGAAATTGTCTTCATCGCCGTGCTATCCCGCTTACTCGCATGCGCAAGTCGCCGCTGCTCACCGGCCATCTGGAACTGAATCTTGGACTCTCGCTGGGAAAGTAGGTTATACAACTGTCTCAACCGTCAGCATTCCACTCAAAAGAACACCTCAGCGGCCCCCCGTCCCCAAAGAAGTAGATCGTGAGCCAGGATAGGGTGTCGGGATGAACATACCGCACTACGCTGGATATGCAACCTCTCCAACGTCGTCGCCTGATAATTTTCAATTCCTGTCAACTTCAAGCTGTAAAACTGCAACCGCGCCACCATGCTCCGGTGAAGCTTATCAATGAGCGGTGTATCGTGCTCCTCGGGCACCTTCTCCTTAAACTTGACCAGCCCAGCATCAATCTCCTTGACAATAGCCTGGTACGCCTGCGGCCGCTTCCAAAGGACCTGGCTGTGGCACTCGACGAGATCGCGGCTGATGGCGTCGACCTCGAGGTGCCCGTCCTGGCTGACGTACCCCTCCTCGTCCTCGATCTCGTTGCGCATGCTGACGGCGTGCTCCAGCTTCCGCAGCCAGTCGCGCGCGTCGCGCTGCTTCTGGTCCGTCGTCGACGACAGGTCGTGCGAGAGGATGATGATGGGGAGGAGCATCGGATGCCCGGCCTGCTGGGCGCAAAAGGTAAGGTGCTGGATGGCGGCGACAATATCGGAGCTCGGGGTGCCCTTGACGTAGCCCGACGTGATGCCGCTGCTGAAGCAGTGGGAGAGCATGAGCTCCCACCCGCGCGTCTTACCCTTCTTCCGGACGTCGGACTTGCGGAAAATGATTTCTAGACAGCGGCATTAGTCTATCAATGTTGCTCTCTCGATTCAATGGCAAAAGGATAACACTAACGCAGAGTAGGATCCTCATCGTCCTGGTCGTAGGCACACCAGAAAAAGGGGCCGACGACGCTGGTACCCTCGATGGCTCTGAAGGGCAGTCGCATAGCCCGAACCATGGACTGGTATGCATCTGCAGTGAAGGAGATGGTGTGAGGCGTAAATGTGTCCTTGTGCTTGGCATTCTTTTGGAGCCTGGGATGGGTCAGTTCGAAGCTCTAACGTGAGCAATATAGATGGGGTAGTTACGGACACCAATCGAATGCCATTGAGCAATTGGACGCCCTCCTTTAGTTTCGGTGGCTCAAAAGCGCCCTGTCAGATCTGCCATGTCAGCCATAAACGGCTCTCATGAAGGTCAATCTCACTGAGCGTGAGCAACAATTACACGGTTCTCGTCCATACCCGGCGATGCAAGAAGTTATCAAATTCATCCATGGTCAAGGGGTGCTCCTCGCAAGAATTGTAAAAAGGGTCCTATCAATTGAGTTAGTTTACGGCCATGAACGTGGCAGCCGTGCCCGAGGCTTCCCATCCTGTTGTCTCTCTGTTCGTTGAAGGGGCGCGTGATTGGCAACTCACCGAGTAGTTGAGAATCTCGACATAGTGCGTTGCCTCCGAGACTTGGCGGCACTTGCTGACATGCTCGCGGAACATGTAGTCGTCCATCTTGAACCAATTGAGCCGTTACCCAGCCACGCTTCGGTACAGATATCCCACGGGATGAGGGGGGAAAAGACAAAACAACACAGCAAGGCTACTCCCAGGAAACGAAAAGAGAAAAAATAAGAGAGGTTTGGAGGTTCCTGCAGGTTGAGTTCATGGCTCCAGACCGGGCTCCTTTCATAAGCCGCGCCCAGCCCCGTGACTTTGCACCAGGTCTGCAGCAAGAAGCAGCAGCGGTGGTGGTCTTTTTCGGGGCCAGGTCCAGTCCGGCCCATGCAACAATCTGCACTGCAAAGTAAACACGCGTCGTAATTGGTTGAGTTTACAGTATCCGTACGGATACCACAACCTCAATTCCCCCGGTGAAATCGCTCACTGGATACACTCACCTTGCCACAGCTTGACGGCGCATTATAGGTAGCAAGGACCAAAGGTAAGATTTCGGGGATTTGGGCGGGTTTCCTCATATCGCCTAGCAAAGCTTGAAGCCTCTAGGCCCCCTATGAACATCAGAATCAGGACTGGGCTAGCACTGAGGTCCCCTGAGCGATGGAGCCGACCCGACGACACTTCGTCCCGCGGCCCCTGCCACAATCCCCGCACCTCCACTCTGTCACCGCCAGAACGAACCGCTGTTTCTCTCTGCATTAATAGGCCCGGATAAGGGGCCCATTGGAGCTTGTTTGGACGCTTAGCTCATTCAAAGCGTGGGGGGAGGAGGTAGACGATTTCATCGAGCTGCCACGGTGCACTGGACATCCGTATCATCGGGGCGCCAAACCTTACCCACACGTCCAACTGAACCAAACATTGATAGCTGCAGCATCACGCACATTCAACGGGAATGCAGACGCGCAGATCAGTATGCATGATGCTGCAGCAAAAGCTTCTGCTTATCCCAAAGGCATCACGAGCGTCGAGGTTTGTAGGCCGGAAATCTCATGCACTTTTGCCCATGTCTGGCCAATCTCCACCTCGACGCCCTGGATATTTCCGTCTAGGCCCATCTCATTTGCCAAGCATTGCAAGCGGCGGCCTCCATGGGTGGTACCACGACACTTTACTGTGTAAACTGTGTAAAGACGGAAGCTCTGCCGCCAGGCCAATTGGAATACAATCGTTGTTAGGTATTGATGTAACCAAGTGATACGGTGACAAGTCTGCTCTTCTTGCGCTTTGCCATCTTTCCAGGACCGTTCGAGCCTTCAACCCAATGCCCCCCCCCCCCTTCGTTGATGTCCTTACCTTTTTTATTTTCCAAACCGTCGACCAGGCGCCCAAAGCACTGCGGGCATCCCTATCGAGACTCTGACCTCTGCCAGGTACCATTTACTATTCAAACACTGCTCGCAGACTGAAGCCCACGAGTACACCCTTGCTGGCAGCTCAACTCTTTCTCAGGCGAGACATTAGAAATCGGTGAAAAGATGGCCATATCTGGAGCACAGCGTTAGCAAAGATCCCAGTCTCAGCAGCTCGAAAAGAACTCACTCGTCATGTCCGGCTGAACCGTATCGTTCGGGGTCCTCGGGGTATCTATCAAACTGGCTGGCATCGCCGGCGCCGGCCTTGACTGGGGGAGTGTACGGCGCATCAATGTCCTTGCGAGCCAGCCTGTCCCACGTGACCTCGGTGAACCACGGGTGGTTCTTGACATCGTTTGGACCAGCGTACAGGTTACCCAACCGCTTGGTGAGATCCGCTGTAATCAGTTTCTCCAGCAGATCCTGCGCATCCGGGTTGATATAGGCAGGGTATTTCACCTTGCCCTTGAGGATGTTTTCGTAAATCTTCATTGGTGACCCGCTGTCCCAAAACGGTGTGTACCCGCACAGCATCTCGTATATCAAGATTCCAAGAGACCACCTAAGACCGGGGGGGTTAGCAATTGTGAAAGGACTGCAACCTCTTGTGAAAAGGCCACCTCACCAATCTACGGATTTGTTGTAGCCCTTGTTCGAGACTACCTCGGGGGCCAGATAGTCTGGAGTACCACAAAGCGTCCATGTCTTGTCCGGCACTCGCTTGGCGAAACCAAAATCTGTTATCTTAAGGTGTCCATGCCGGTCGAGCAGCAGGTTCTCTGGCTTGAGATCTCTGTAGATGATGTTTCTCGAGTGCATATACTCGAGCGCTAACGTGACTTCGGCGGCGTAAAATTTCGCGACAGGGTTAGGGAAGCGCTGTGGAAAGGAATCAGCCAGGTTAGCTCGGGCCAGTAGGAAAGGTGATCACTTAAGATTGCGACTTACCCCAGATTTCCTCAGCAGCGAAAACAGCTCACCACCTTCAACAAAGTCCATCACCATGTACAGGTTTTTGGAGTCCTGGAACGTGCCCCATAGCGTGATCAGGAACGGGTGTTTGACCTCGCCCAACATCTTCCTCTCGTCATTGGTGTGTTCGACCTGCTTCATCTTGACGACCTGCGCCTTCTTCAGCACCTTGACGGCATAGAAGCGCTGGTTGTGCTTGGACTGCACCAGATGCACTCTTCCGAAACTACCAGTTCCCAACGTTCGCAAGATGTCAAAGTCGGTCAACGTATATTTCCCCTTGGTCTGACGGACCTGCTGGTCCGGGACCTGTTGTGGCATGCCGTGCTGTTGCTGTTGCTGCTGTTGGTGGCTTTGCTGCTGCTGCTGCTGCTGCTGCTGCTGCTGCTGTTGATGTTGTGGCGGCTGGGGCGGGTGTAGCATCGATTGAGCTTGCTGCTGTTGAAGTCGCGCGGGATCGGTTCCGGGGCTCGGGTTCGGCTGGGAGGGTTGGGTCGGCTGGGCTAAGTAATTATTGTTGGAAGTATGGCTGTTGTTCGAGCCGTCATGCTGAGTCGAATTGATTAGGTTGTTGATGCTTGGAAGGTTCTGTTGCGATCCACCTTGTTGATTGTAGTGCGGCTGGTGAGAGCCCGACTGGTTGGGCGGGTGGACAGTGACAGGATACATCTGCTGCTGTTTGGCCCCGTCGGAAGACGAGGTCAAATCCAAATCTTCCTGCTGCTTCAGCGCAGGCAGGGAAGGCGGTTGGGAGTTTGAGGAGAGGGACGACAAGGTAGTCGAGATGGAACTGTCGAACGGCTTGGAGGAGGTGGGCGTTACCGGGCTGGTGGGTAGACTGGAGCCTTGAGAGTCTTGATTACCCTCCCTCGTCCGTTTTTTCTTGAGAAACCCGAGGGTAGGCATATGAAAGTCGGGGAAAGGAAGAAGGGCTGCGTGCCCCGTGAGGAAATGGCGTAGAAGCGCAGGTCAAGGGCCCACGACGTTTGCAGTCGGATGATGGGGGAGGAACGGTCGCAAAGTGATTCGTCGCTCCAAGGGACAGCCCGGTTGCGCTGGTTGTGTCCTTTTTTGGGGGTGTGAGGTGAGCAGTGAATTGGTCGAAAGAGGAGCGCGGGGAAAGCTGAGAGCTGTGCTTTTGCTTCTTTCCGACTAAAGTACGCTTTCAAGTACAAGTGGGAAAGCCGCGCCTATTGTCGTTAGGAACAATGGGGCCAGGTTTGGCGCATACTTTCTGATCAAGGGGAAAAAGGTAAACCGGGATGGAAGGGAAAGGCGGGAAAGCAACAGCATTCGATTCAAGGGGAAGAAACGTACAATTCCGAGAATCCTTTAAAGTCAGGTACTACGAGCAGGGAGCAAGCACGCAGGCAAAAGCAAACCCGTTCTAATTCAGTTGACGGCGAAATGGCAATCGCAATTGGTATTTGGCCGACTTAAAAGCGGGAAAATCGGGAGCTTTCTATTTTCTTGGGACGCTGCACTCAAAAAGTTGTGTGTAAGTTTACGCCGCAGATGGGAAGTTTAACCAATGAAGCAACAGAGTGCAGGGTCAAAGGGCGGGACAAGGCGGCACAGGTCCAAGGATAGAGGTTGTGAGAGAAGTGAGTGTAGTGTAGCGACATCAACAAAGGAGGAATTGTTGGAGACAGCTGGAATGGAGGGGGAAGGGAGGGGAGACGAACAGATGGATGATTCAAGCTGGGACACTGCGTCTGCTTCTTCTTCTTCTTCTTCTTCTTCCAGGGGTCTTGTTGCGTCGTAACTTGTGGAAAGGTGACCAGACTCAAGAGTCAAGGCAAGGTGTAAGGCAGGGCCTGGCTATGTGGGATCTGGTCTTGGTCTTGGTGCTAGGTAGCAGTTGCTGGTCAGGTCGTTCGTTGTTGCTTTTTTCCCTGGTCGGAAGTGACAGATGAATGAGCTCGAATGATAGCGGCGGCGGCTGCGTCTGCGTCCGCGTCTGAGGGTTTCGGGGACAAGGGCCCACTGGGTGAGTGAGCAAGGTGCGGGATCTCTTGCTTCGTCTGGGCGAATGGGTGAGCGGAGCAAGTGGTGACTGAGTCGTTGCGCGCACCGATAAATGGAGACACGATGGGACCAAAAGATTAAACGACGGCTCGCAGTGATCAATTGGGTTGTATTGGGGTCGCCAAACAGTTTGATTGAGTGATGGTGTTTTTGGGCGTCTCGAGGGAAGCTAGGATTGAGGGATGAGGGAACCACAGGGAGAGGATGAGGTAGGTAGGCAGAGGTAGAGGTAGAGGTAGAGAAAGAGGGGACAAGGAAGGGAAGGGAAGAGAAAGAGAGAAAGAGAGAAAGAGGGAGGAGAAGGGCAGCCAGTAGAAGCTGAGGTCGTTGATGATGTAGTAGCGAAAGGGTTAATTGGAAAGAGCAAAGAGCTACTGCAAGCTGCTGCGTACGGATGCCGGAGGGGGAGTGAGGAAGGTAAGGTAGGTAGGTATGCTACATGCCTTTACTACGAATACATAAGTGGGAAGGTAAGGCAAGGTTGAGCTTCTGCTGGCCGCGGCGTGAAGGTGGGCGTGAAAGTACACATATGCAGTAGGTTGGCGGAGGCGGAAGTGGTTCAGTCTGGTTGACGCCCGCGTTTAGACGGGAACGGCGTGGGCAGGGAAGGGCATCGTAACCATTGGCAGGCCGAGTACGGCACCGTCCAATCGGTATCGAGATGGCACAGCCGAGGGCAGCACTCTACGAGCCCAGAGAGGGTCGAGAACAAGCTGGAAAGGACGGCCGATCCTGTTCCCAGTTCAGTCCATACTCCATAGCCATAGTGGCATAGGCAGATTTTGCAAAAGGCCTGACTGGGTTACAATAGGAAGGGAAGAGAGACACTGAGAGAGACAAGCGGGAGGCAGCGTGCATGCACAAGAGCTGATCTTGGACTCGGTTGAACGCGGGGCATCCATCATGGCATGTGTGCATGTCTAGCTATTTGTCTGGTCTGTCTAAGCTGTGCTTGATTTCTCCATCTCTGTACCCGTGATTCCGAGTATCGTAACATCTCTCGGGTTCAACTGGCCAAGAGAGACAGAAAGAACAGCTGAAAGTCGTCGACGGGTACATGTTGTTCTTGGTCTGATGCCACGAACAAGGTACAAAGTGCAAAAGGGTGAGTCTCGCCTCTCCCCCACCAAGATCGAGCAAGGCGCACCGCAGCAATCGAGCAACAAGCCCAGCAGAGGTGGGGTAGGGGCAGGCCAAGTAACCCGACCTGAATCTCGACGGGGTCGTAGTGGCAGCAAACAGAGACAAGCTGCTGGGGCTCGCCAGCACGCTTGACATGGGACCGACAGTGGACTGGATTCCAATCTGAATCGAGCGAGCAATTCTACCCAGCAACACCGGATACCTGACCTCTCTCTCACCAATCTCTACGGCTTGGACGAGTGCGGAAGTGTAAGTGCCAAAGCCCGTCCCTGAGGTATCCCACAAGGTGCGGTACGTACATGCCTTACCTAAGCTGATGCTCCTAAGGTACCTTACTGCAGTGCCTCGAGAAAGGTACCCGACATGTCAAAAGAAGGCGGGGTGATATTCTGCCCTGGAGCTCTTGCCTCCAGTTTGGTGTCATTTACCCCCATCCGGCCAGAGCAGCTGCCAGGTATGTAGCTACTAGCTAGAGCGGATGACCCCTCACTCGAGGCACTCGAGGCGAATTGAAGGACCAGTGACGTGCCGATGCCGACGACCTCACCTGAAATAGTGGGAAAGGGCCGGACGCAAGGTACCTTACAGCAGACTGCAAGAGGCACTCCGTCAAAAATCGGGAAAGCACTACGCCTACCCTCCTACTAATTACCTATTAGATATTTTCTATATTAATATATATAGAATTCGTGACCTACTTAAATTATTGTTTTTAATTAGCTTAATATAGGGCTATTAGCGTACTAAATTCCCTATTTTTAATTTTCCCTTAGCTCTGGCTTTTTTTATTTTATATTTATATACTTTTTAATAAATAACCCCTATTATTTATTTAATTTTTATTTTATAAAACTACCTATTTTATTATTTTAATACGAAATTTATTATAATATTACGATTATTAAATTTAAAGCGATTCGAACTATATTTATTTTATTTTATTTATTTATATACGTAAAAATCTGCGGTAATTAGTAATTTTTTACGATTTTTTATTATTTTTTATAGTTACGTTATTAGATCTACTCGTAGCTTTTTTAACTTAATTTAACTTTTTTTTTGAAAAATTTATTAACTTTTATTTAACTTAGTATATTAATTAATATATTTAGCGTTATATATATAATAATTTATTATACTATATAAGCTTATATAAATAACTATATTTATTTATAGGCTCTTACGAGCTTATATAAATAGCTATATATAATTTAGAATTTATATACGGCCTCGTACGCTACTATATAACTATAGCTAGCTCTATTAATATTATTTTAATTATATTTAAAACCATAAACAAGGTTATACTCCTTTATAAAAAGGTACTATTTAGTAAATAGTTATAGTATTTTATTAAAAACGAGCTCGTTACTACGTGGGCTCTTATATATATATATACTTTTATATCGATATTTATATAGCTTTATTAATTGTTATAAATAAATACTATTAATAACGTAAATAATAATATTATTATATAGATTACTTTTTAAAAAATAGAGGTTAGTAATCTATATAGTTCTATATACGAGTTTAATAAATTTAATAAATTTATTAAATTAAAAATATACTCGTACTATATATAAATATTACGGCTAGCTAGTCGTAATAAATATATTAATAAAAGTTAAGGCTACGAAGGCTAAGTAAATAGTATCGTAGTTATAAATAGCTTTTTTAAAACTATATCTATAAATAATAAAATAAATAAAGCTTTAATAATTAATTATAGTTTTATTAAAAGGGGTTTTTAATAAAAATAGCTAAAAGCGATCGTAAAATCTAATATTAAGTTAATTATTAAAAAAGCTATAGGAAGTCTATTTTTAAGCTTAGTTTAAATCTATATTATATATAAGTCTTATTCTTAAATATATCTTTTATTTTACGTATATTCTATTTATTAATAATTATTAAATAGATTTTAATAAGCGCTTATTTAGAGTAATTATTATAATTACTTTATT